CTGTAAAATAGTGGCATCTAAATTACAGACATTTACAGCAAAATAACATATGATAAATTACGGACATTTACTGTAAAATAATGGCCGTTAAATTACAGACATTTACTGTAAAATAATGGCTTTTAAATTACATGTTTACTGCAAAATAATGGCCTTTAAATTACAGACATTTTCTGTAAAATAATGGCATTTAAATTACAGATATTTACTGTAAAATAATGACTTTTAAATAAGACATTTACTGTAAAATGGTGGCCGTTAAATTACAGACATTTACTGTAAAATAATGGCATTTAAATTACAGACATTTACCGCAAAATAATGGTCATTAAATTACAGACATTTACTGTAAAATAATGGCATTTAAATTACAGATATTTACTGTAAAATAATGGCCGTCAAATTACACACATTTACTGTAAAATAATGGCATTTAAATTCCAGTTATTTACTGTAAAATAATGGCACTTAAATTACAGTTATTTACTGTAAAATAATGGCATTTAAATTACAGATATTTACTGTAAAATAATGGCATTTAAATTAGACATTTACTGTAAAATAATGACATTAAAATTACAGACATTTATCGCATAATAATGGCTGTTAAATTACAGACATTTACAGTAAAATAACGGACATTAAATTACAGACATTAACCGTAAAATAATGGCCGCAAAATAATGAACATTAAATCACAGAAATTTACAGCAAAATAATGGCTGTTAAATTACAGACATTTACCGCAAATTTAAATTAAAATAATTTTTTTAAATTTACAGTAAATTTCTGTAATTTACCGTCTGTTATTTCACGGTAAATGTCTGTAATTTAACGACCGTTATTTTCAACGTAAATCAACAGATTTTTTTACAGTGTAGGTTTAACACAATCAGCCGATTTGAATGTTACCACTCAATTGAATAGCCGTTATCAGTGGTTATCAGCTGATATATATGGACCAGTAGGGACCTTCTGCACCTACTGGTAGGCTCAGAAGGCTGTTCTCATCCATCCACATGGTTAATCAGCTATAGATCATACAGCTGCGACAGGAAGTTAACGAGAAATATTTATTACATTTCATATTAATTGTATTTAATTAATTGTAACGTCTACCCCAACCCTGAATCCCTTTTTCTCATCACTTCACCCATGTCCTGCAGCAGCTTCACTGGTTACCAGTTCATTTTCTAATTGATTTAAAAATTTTGATGTTAACATTTAAACCCATCCACAATCTCGCCCCTCCATATTTGTTTGCCCTCATCCACATTTCTGTTCCTTCTCGCATCCTGCGATCTTCTTCCTTTCTCCGCTTGTTTGTTTCCTTCTGCTCGTCTATCGTCTATGGGCAACAGAGCATTCAGCCTAGTGCTCTCCGGCTTTGGAACTCACTATCACCTGCCATCAGAAACATTGTCTTCCTCACATTATTCAAATCATGACTAAAACCCCACTTATTTAAGATGGTTTTTAATACTTAATTAATTAATTTTATCTGGACTATTGCTGTGTATATTTTTTATTATTTCTCTTGTTGTTTTATTGTATGGTTTCCTTGAGTTGCCAGAAAGGTGCTTTAAATAAAATGTATTATTATTACTATTGATATTATTAATATTACTGTATATCAAAACAACAATTAATTGAATATTTTAAAAATGTAATCATAAATAACAGATTTGATGATGAATGCAAGTAATTTTAACCCATAGACTTTATAATATCATTAGTATAAAGTCAGAAATGAATGATCATTTTATTAATAAGAAAATTATACTGCTTTATATTATATTATATTATATTATATTATATTATATTATATTATATTATATTATATTATATTATATTATATTATATTATATTATATTATATTATATTATATTCATTTTTAGTATTTTATGGACCTAACAGTTTTGGCTAATGTATTGTCAAGGAAACTAAGCTGTAAAATGGGATATTTATATACTTACCACATAAAAGGTTAGCCTTTTTTTCACTACATTTCTTCCACATCATATAGTTCTGCATTCACAGAGGGAGTTCAGTGTGCTACTGTGGGATCCATAGTGATGGAGAACATTGAACTTTGCACAGCACTTCAAGATCAATGTTAATCGCATGGTGACATGAGCAGTCAGTCCAATTTCCCTCCAGCGGCGGCTACAGTTCACCAGTTACAACCCAGCAGCGCCAAGTGAGAGGAAAGAGCTGCAGGTGTGTGTACAGAAGCGCATTTGAAGGAAGCGTGTGCATGTTTGAATTCCTGTCCACATTTGTTTAATCACTGCAAAACAGGATGCGGATTGTGTCTTCTGATTTTTTTTTTTTTTTCGTCTCAGCACCTGTCGTGAGAAGCTGGGGCTTATGCCAATCCACAGACACATTCACCAGACAATAACACTGTAAAACTGAATGGGAAAATGAAGTTAATGAGATTCAAATATTGATGAACGTTCTTTGTACGTAAAAAAAACAGACTTTTAAAACTCTCCTACAGTTGAACAGTTGAGTTTTACTATTTTTTAAATCCATTCAGCCAATTTCTGGGGCTGGAGCACTTTTAGCTTAGCTTAGCATAGATAATTGAATCAGATTAGACCATTAGCATAAAAACCAAATAATACTTTATATAAAAAAAATAGTGTGTAAACTGTGACTGTAAAAGGTGATTTCTAATTCCTAGAAAGGTAAGATAGTTGGAAATAAATACATCACAGCCATGTTTTTGTATTACAAAATCAAAAATGAACAGTTTTACAACTATTAATAATAATAATTATACACTTTTTAAGGTAATATAATACACTTTATAAGTAATAGACCAAATAAGCAGCCAGTATCTTAATAATAGCTAACATGACAGTATTAATAGAGGTAAACGGTACTAAAGTGTTACCAAAAACTCGCATGTTTTGTGGCGATATGTTCCCACAGTTGTTTTGTGTAATCAGAACTTATCAGAAGTTACAGAGAGTTTTATATTTACGGTGTGCATTTATATTCATTATATTTATACAAGTCACAAAAGTAATATTTTTCAATGTGTGCTTTTTATACAGTAGTAAATATAGAAATATCAATGTAAAAGTAGTATACTTGTAACTTGACTTGCTATACTTAAAACAATTTGGGAAAGATTTGGCTAACTTTTTAGTTAATCTACACTGCAACTAAAATATAAGTGAACTAAAAGATAAACAGATGTTTAGAAAAATAAGCAAAATCTACAGAAATATAGCATCCTATTATTTACACAGTAAGTCAATTGAATTATATATTTTTTTTTATTTGGGTCATAATGCAATTCAACATGCAGAAAGCCTCTGTGAATCACAAGCTACATTACAGGCAACTGTTAGTTACCAAATATATTTTACAGTGGACTTAAAATGTTCTGTTTGGATGCTACAGTAATTCAAGTGGCAATACCGTGCCTGATATGACAAGGTAATGAATGTTCTAAAACACTTTTAGGAATATCATCATGTAACTTATCAAAATAAATACATAAATGAATATGCTAAGAGTTCAGATGCAAAAACTTCTAACATTTTCTTGTAAACTGAGCTCTTTCTGCAGGCTCCTGTTTGTAGGTTCACTTTTACAGCAAAAATTTGTTATTTTCATTGCTTTTAAAATGAAATAACTTAAAGTGTCACGAAACACCAAACACATTTTTAGAGCTGTTGACAGTCATATGTGTGTCCCATGCTGCTAAAAACACTATTTGGACACATATATTTCACTAAAAAGTGAAAATTGGTTGTTTTTGCGTTATTTCGAACAAATTCGTACTTCCGGTTTGAAACGAATTTTTGAAGCTGCGTCACGTCCATGAGATTTTAGCATGCATTCCAGCGTGTAGACTGGACGCCTGTACCTGAGAGTGCCTAATTACGTCTCTGAGTGCCGCATTGATGCGTGAGTAAGACTCGGTTAAAACCAATCAGTGCGCTCTAATGTGCAACTTCATTAATATTCATTAATGTTACAGTGTTTAGACGGCAGAGAGACGCCACGTTGTGTTGCCAAAACAAGCGTGCAGTGTTGCTTTTATAATTTGCTGCAGTGAAGGTTTTGTTTTCATTTTCTCTCTATGAGAGCGCAGCTGGACTCACGTGTGGGTTACAGCGCACGCGACACGCGACAACAATAAGTGTCTAAGGAACATTGTTTACCCGAGAGCTTTTCTCATCTGGAAATGGTGAGGTCCCGATTTGATGCTTGTCTCCTCTTAATAAAGACACGGCTCTAGTTGGTATTGATTGTTCTGTCTCTATAGATTTGGTGGATGAGTAAACAGTTGTCTTTGTTTATTCAGATGGCAAAGTTAGTTCGTATCGAACTAACTATTACACCAAGTGTAAACATGTTAGCACCACAACCAACCTTTAACCTCGTGTAGGATTTTTGCTGCATTTTGTGACAGGAATAACACACACAGCTTTCTGACGCTACCTGCCGATTGCATCTAAGTTACCGAGAAATGCAGAGGTTTTTTTTCTCTCATTCACTCTGCGGTATCAAACATTGCTTGAAAAATACACGCTTAGAGCAGTTCCTCGAATCAAATATCTCGTTTGTCACGAGAGACATGAATGGATTTCTTGAATGAAAGAGCCAAACTGCAGTTAAAGTCCACCATTTAATAATTTGACAAATAATTTGATTACTGATGTCCATGTAAACATAGTCAGTGTTTCTTCCCTGGGTGTGTGTGTGTGCATGTGTGTGTGTGTAAGACACTCCCCCTTAAACAGAGCTGGACACGCCCACTTTCCTGACTTTTTCCAAAGTAGAGTTGAGAAAAAACCATGCTGGAACAAGGAAGGGGGGGGGGGGGGGGGCATGGCCCTTTAACATAAACATGAGAGGCTGAGAGAAAATGCTAATATCAGATCAGAATTTGATACTTTTGCATCTGAACTCTTCATGTAAAACAATATTAGAATGTCAGAATTTTTCTCATGGAACAAACTATAGTTTGAAGTAACTGAAATGGGTGTAATTGGGTACAAATATGCCATTTCACAGTTTAGCCAGCATTTGTTGTTCTGAACTGGTTCATTGCTTTTGTCTACAAGACAAAGATCATGTCACCATGACAACTTTAGACAACAGCTTGTGTTTACTTCAGCTGCAAAAGAGAGGACCTCGTATGAGGATTGTGAGTAGAGTTTTCTTCTGTATGTTTTACAAATTGTTTAAAATGTGCAGCACATGTTGCATATTCAATGTGTGTTTAGTTGTATAATATAGATGAGCTTGTCTGTTTATCCATGTAGATAAAGCTTTCAAGAATCTTTGCAAAAAATAGAAAACTGGTTCACTGAGATAGTAACTGTTTTAGTTCACTTTCATGACCTAAAAAAATTAATAACTAGCAAACTATTTATAGAATTTCACATGTAGGTGTCTATACACATTTAAAGGCAAATTCATCCAAAAAGTAAAACGACATCTTCATTTACTCTCCCTTATGTGGTTTTTAAACCTTTACAACTTTTTTTCTCTGATAAACACAAAAAAAAAAATAACTTAAAAATTTGTTGTTTGCCGGCATCCATTGACTTTATAAGATTGTGTATATTATGGAATTCAATGGGTGACCATGGTTTTTAAAAATATCTTCTTTTGTGTTCAAATAATGGCAGAATATATATTTTTTGGTGAACTACCCTTTTAAATGACACGGAATTAAACAATGTTGTAATTTTTTTTCAAGATTTTTTTTTTAAAGGTAGAATAGAAAATTGATTACATTGTCGTTGTTGTTTGTTTGTTCTTTAGGATACTGTATGATGATAGTAAGTACTATAAAATCAACTTGTCAGTGAAATATGTAGTATATATATTTGCCCATAAAAAAAAAAAAAAAAAAAAACATGTTTACTTTAACAATTACTCTACAACCAATAATGCTAAATGGAACTAAAATTGTTTTTTTTTTTTTGGCTCGTAATCATAAGGGAAACATGGTGCAATGTAGCAACCTAACAACCCTAAAAAAGCAACCATTACTGGTGCTATATACACTAATTTATCCATAATATCCATAATTTAGCAATTTTCCATACATCATGATTCATGTTTTTATCTTTTAAAAATTTGGCATTATGGGACCTTGATCTTTCTTCCAACAAATTTTAACCCTAAAAAGTTTTTAAAAAGTGACTTTTATTAACATTTTAATAGTTTAAAGTGATGTATTGTTGGGGTTTTGTGTTGTATATTACGATACAAAAATCTTAATAACCTTGTAATAAACTGCCAGTACATTTTCTGTTTACTTATTTTTCTATTTTTTATTTCTTACACATAATATTACCTCAAATTACTCAAATTTCAAAAAAGTCACTTTGTTTAACTATAAAGTTGAATGTTCAACACCAAATGTCGACAGATCAGAGATCAGGCTCCCATAATGCTATTCACAACCGTAAATAAACAGAAAACACTCGTGAATCACAAAATACAGGATTTTTTTTTTTTTTTTTTACAGTTGTTTCCTCAATGATTACAAGCCAAAAAACCCCTTAGCAGTACAAAATAGCACCTCAAATACCTGACGTAGTATGAAACAATATTATGCTCTTGTCTTGATTTGGATAGTGAACGATGGCAGGACGCAGATCTAGGAACAGTATTTCTGTGAAGATGTGCCCTCAGCAGAGAGCTCGACATGAGGCCTACAGCGAGCCGTCTAAAGAAGCGCAGAGATGGATGGCAGTGGCAAGACAGCGTGTGTGTGCACAACTAAATAATCAACAATCCCAGCAGGTCTGCAACTCCACCGCTGCTGCTGAGCGCCAAAATCAGCTCACAGCACAATTAAAGGCCTCTGAGGCCAGGAGTCGTATCCGACAACAGAGACTTCGCTATCAAGAGCTAAAGGCAGGGAACTTTTTTAAATGATACTTTATTTTAATATAGGGTGTAGACAAACTCTTTATTATGGAATCTTACACTGCATAATACAAACTTGAAATTAAAAGTAGTTGCAGCTTTTTATCTTAGTCTCATTTCTTAACACAATACAGTAGGTTGTTATCACATGACATCATTGATGACGTGCGAAACTCAGATGGGGGCAGGAAGTGATTTTTCTACATAGGAATATATATAAATATATGTGCAATATCACACTAGTAGCAGTGCG